GCTTACTTAAAGAGTTTTGGGTCTAAATACCCTTAAGACATCAGATCCTATCTGATCTTGGAAGTTAAGCTGGGTGTGCCCTGGTTAATACTTGGATGTGAGACCACCAATGAATACCAGCTACTGTAGGCTATATTTCAGAAGAAGGAACTGTCTGAACCACCTTTGAGTATTCCTTGCCTAAGAAAACCCTGTGAAATTCATGGGGTCACCATAAGTCAACAAGAGGCTTGGATGGACACACACACACACTTAAAGGGTTTACTCCAGTTGGCTCTCAGTATTGACAGGCTAGCCATTCATGGATTGGAGTATCTGCCGATGGCCCTGCCCCATTGTTGTCAATAATGGTGATGCCTGCAGCCACAACAACATAGCCATCCATATTTTGGCAACCACTGATGATAATGGAATTTAGGTCCAGTGATTTTTTGTATCAATGGGGTGTGTGTGTGCCCCTTGTAGATCTCTCTCTTCAAAAGAGAGGTCATAGGGATTTAGTGGATGGGGCTGGCACATGCAAGGACATATGGCATGTACAATCCAGTCCTCCTTATGCATGTTGTCCCTAAATACAGCTAAGGAGTGTTTAATATGGAAGTACTAGTATAAATGATACATCCCATGACACTCCTAACACAACATAGTTGCAGCCAGGGTGTAGCAATGTTTATGAAGGAGAATCAACACCCCATTTGTCTTGGCAGAAGCTACTCATCCTTCCAGTTTGGCCCTGCAAGGCAGCCCAAGCTGTATTATGTGGGCTGATATCACCCAGGAGAGCCACCCCTGTTCTTCTGACTCAGCTGGATGGTCATGTTCAAGTTGTTCTTTAAGAGCAGCATCCACAGGTTTCTTATCTCTTATTTACAACTTGCCTAGCAAGACAGCCCTTTCACTCCTATTTGTATTTCCATAATTTTGTCAGCCGGCAGAAAGTAAAACAAGATTTGTAAGCAGTTTATATTTCTTGTGTGTATTTCATTACAGTTGCATTTTTCAAGCACTTTTTTAAAAAAAATAATAATGGAATAATTATTTGTCCTTCAGCTATTTTGTCATCAACAAGTATATGAACTAATAAAATCTATAAGGGAGCCATTTTGAGGACTCTGGAAGAAAGCTACTGTTTTTCCACATGAAAAACAATGTAATTATTTAACAATTTGAAAGCTGCTGCATATTGCTAGAGAAGAATTATTATTGCTGGGTGTCTTCTGATGGTGGCCCTAAGGCAAACCTATAATGGGGTTTTCATGGCAGAATTTATTCAGAGGAAGGTTGCTTTTGCTTTCCTCTAAGGCTGAGCGTGACTTGGTCAGGGTCACCCAGTAGGTTTCCATGGCCAAGTGGGGATTTAAACCCTGCCCTCCCAATTTCTTAGTCCAACACTCAAACCACTATACCACACTTTTGTCCAATTGTGGTTAAATGGAATATTCCATGGTATCACTACACCATTCCCTGCTACACCATTCTGCCATTCTTAGGGCCTTTGCAGACTGCTAGAAATAGTGAAAATTGAGTCCATTTTAAGGGTTAGGGTTAGGAAATCATGGGAACTGTATTTTATTGTGGCACCAGAGCTCTCTGACAGAGAAGGCTCAATGTTTCAGAAAAAAAAGCAATAGCCATGATTCCCTAGCACTAACCCTAACCCATAAAGTGGACTCAATTTGCACTATTTCTGGCAGTCTGCAAAGGCCCTTAGTCATACATGCAAATCAAACAGCCAGGCTATACATTAATGGAATTTTGGGGATAGTTCTGTTTCAGAAAAGAATGGGGGTACAACTGCGTCTTATGCAAGTCACAGTCTCTCAGCCTTTGAGAAAGGCAAAAGCAAACCACCTTTGAGCAAATCTTGCCCAGGAAACCCCATGATAGGTTCTCCTTAGGGTTGCCATAAGTCTGAAATGTCTTGAAGGCACAACAAGCCTCACTGCAGTTAGACTGCAAGAGTCCTAGCTGTAAAGCTACTGATCCCCTAAATTACAGCTTCATATTCCATAGTAAGGTAAGGAAACTTTTTTGTGACTCCTTCCATCTCTATTCAGAATTAGCAACTTCAACACAAGGTAGGTACTAGAAAGGCTTCAGGTCTATCTCCATCCTCACTTTAGCAATATATATATTGCGCTCTCTCTCTCTCTCTCTGTATCTCAGTTTGAACAGAAACAAAAGCTTGTCTACAACAAGAACACAATTCAGTTAGCTGCTTGAAAATCAGCACGTAATATTGTCCATCGCTCAGCACAAAGCGATACATTTTAGAATGGGCTCTTGATTTGTGTGCAAGTCTTTGCTGAAATAATGTCTTTTATCTGTGGGCACCCCCACCTCTGATCCCCTCCACAGGCTCTTGTTTGATTGTTTATCCATTGACATTTTACTGCATCTCTCTCCTGAACAATGAAAGAGCTGTTTGCTTCTACAGAGCATCCTTTTTGTTTAGGAGAAAAATATGAATGAGGAAATTCAATGGCTCTAGCTTTCACTGTGGGCTCTGTTTGCTATAGAGGACAAGACTGTATCCCAGGAGCAAATTCGTTCTGCTGTGGAGGTTTAAAAATATCACCACCACTATTTTTAATACTCTTGAGAAAGGAGCAGGGAGCTAACAGCCTTGCAACTTTGAACTTCCATTCCTTCATGCTGGATGGAAAAATCACATTCTTCCGGCTCATTCAACCTTTCTCTGTTACCTGAATTGCAATGTTAGGGCACACCTTATGCCAAAAGCACAATTTCTTTCAACAGCAAGTTTGGGCAGCAAAGAACATCTGGCAGGAAAAGTGCCCATATTGACCCTGAACTTTTAAAAATAAAATACATCAGAGTAAGGTAGCTTTAATATAACCTCTTGGTCCCCCATCTCACTCTTAACAAATTTTAGTAGAAGAAAAATTGCCATAGTTGTGATATGCCTCCAAGTAAACTCTGTGTATGGTGACCCTATCCTAAGATTTTCTTGGCAAGATTTGTTCAGAGGGAGTTTGCCTTTGCCTTCCTTTAAGGCTGAGAGAGTGTGACTTGCCAAGAACACCCAGTGGGTTTCCATGGCTTAGTAGAGTTTGAACCATGTTCCTCCAAATTCCTAGTCCAGCACTCAAATCACTATACCACACTGACCCCTACAAATTTAAACACATATATTATCTTTACTCTTGTCTCCATTGCCTTTCCCTTTTCTCCTTCCCTTGCTCTGATAGTTTATTTGTAAACACCTCAGAACTTTAAAAATTGCTATGCACATATACGATGGTGATGATAAGGTTATTAGTACTCTAGTAACTACAGCAGTGGTCCCCAACCCCTGGTCCCTGGTCCGGTACTGGTCCGCAGAACAAATGGTACTGGGCCGCCCTGCTACTGCGTCTTCTGTGCAGCGGCAGCGGCAGGTCCTGCGACTTGCGAGTCCTGTAAGTCCCAATAATAAGTGCAGGGACAGGACTCCTGCGTCTGCTGACGTGCCCCGGCCCAGCCGATCAGCGTAGGGGCGGGGCTTCTGTGCGCGGCTTTAGTGAATGTTGAGTGACGTCCCTGACGCTGTTCAGAGGAGCCAGCAGGGGATGGTGGGCAGGGGATGGTGAGCAGGGGACGATGGGCAGGGGAGTGTTGGCCTGCAGCAGCACCCGCTGGTCACTGATTCGTGACCAGCGACCCATTTGTCAACAAACCAGGTGAATCTAGAATGTCTGTACAAGAAGAAGATCAACTGCTGGAGATTGAAAATGACAGTGGCCTTAAAACTATGTTTGAGAATACAACTCTGCCGGT